ATTAATTTTCTTGACTTGCGTTTTATTCAGATATAAAATTTCTTTTATTTTTAATTAGTTTAAGATTTTTCCACCTCCATGTTGGTTTTTTTTTACCCTACCTTTCCTTTTATCGGCCCAAGGCTGATTGGAATTTAAATAAAAATGGAAAAGAGAAGATGAGACAAAAATAAATAATGCGAATATAATAAAAATCAGCTCCCAAATTCTAATTCGTTCTCACGGAAAGGGCCTAGATGAAAAATTACTTTGTGTTATTCTAGTCGCTACCAATTTTTTTATTTATTGAACCGAAAAAATTGAAAAAAGAAATATGGCTTTAAAAAAATGGAGCAAATCTTCGCAAAGGAAAGATAAAGACAAAAGCATAAGCTACGAAAGCGCGTTCACACGTTATTTGATTGCTTTTTCAATGATATGGCAACACGAAAATCAAGCAGAAAATTAAAGCTTATTCAAGATAGTCAAACCCTAAGTAAACAACGAATTCGCATTTATTTGTCAAACCCTTTTTCTCTATCAATCGATCCCCTTTTCATAAACCTTAATCACTTAGGTATTAAATAACAAAAAAAGAAAATTGTGAAAGAAAGTGGAAATATTTAGAGAATTTTTTGGCAGATTTTTTTTTTTTAAATTCAATTTTCAATTTTACGATGAATTACTTAAGACCGGTTTAGACGGTACGATTTTCGCCTACAACTAACGTATACAACACGCTTGCGCCATCCTACAACTCGAGTCGTAGCGTGTAAATCAAGCTTACAACTCGCCTACGAAAGACGCGAGCGTGTTGTGTACGATAGTTGTAGGCGAAAATCGTACCGTCTAAACCGGCCTTTAAGGTACTTGACGTCGTCTTGCGTTTTACTGTTAGATAATAAGGCATTTCATAATCAGCTTGGAGATACGATAAACGATAATCTACACTGACATCTCTGAAGAGGCGACAGCCTAGTTTTGGATTTGCTCTACCTGCCAACGTTTGACAGCTTAAGTGTGTAACTTAAAGCTCCAAAAAAAGCGTATTGAACTAAGCTCTTCCATATAATACGTCATCATTGTCGCTCAAATGCAGTCCTGTTGACTGGTGGTGAAATATTATTTCGTAAGTGATGCTCTTGAAATATTCCCTTCAGATGGAAGAACAGTGTTTGTGTAGCTAGAGTCTCACTGTTAAAGAAGGTCACCACACTGTCAGTAAGTAAACGCTTCGCATTCAATATACTTCATCGACTCTGCTACGTCTCCTTCGTCCGCGTTCCACCTCAAGTACGATGAAAAAAGACACACGGACGGAAGGGCAAGAAAAGTTTGCATTAGCGCTCAACGTCAGTTATTTGTTAAATTTATTTTTATTACTAGATCTATTGCCGAACCACAACCGATTCCAATAACTAACATTTATTTTAAAAAGTACTCGAGTGATGTTTGACTCTTTAATCGCAAGAGAGGGGGGAAACCTTGTTTTGTAACGCTTTCAGTGTGAAAGAAATGCTCAAAGCCGCAATAACAAAAATTAAGATTAATATAGATAGTCTAAATTTGAAAAATTATTATGGAATCAGATGTGAATAATATTTAAATATTTTTTTTCTATTTTGCCAGGTGTTAGGACACCGACAAATATTTTCTGTTCTGGTGTTGATCATATATCAGGAGCCGAAATCAATAGTTCATTTAACTTGGTGCGTTGGAAGATAGATGAAAAGATACGCTGCGCTGCGGCAACAGTTATCCTGCATCATTCTTGACGTTTGAAGAAGCCCCATTGCTCGATGCTGGTAAATAAAATCTTCTTCAAAGGTGAAGTGGACAAAAAGCAACTAGTTGAAAAGAGAGCCTAGTTCAATAAGAATTCACAAGTGGGTAGAGAAAGCAGAAGACGAAGAAGCACTTTTAACGTTTCTAAGAAGCCCCATTGCTCGGTGCTGGTGAATGAAATATTTTCAAAGGTGAAGTGGA